TCATTTTTATGTTGTTTTTCCCGGCGCTTGTGAAAACTATTGGGAATTTTAAATTTTGACCTCCCCAATGCACCAACGATATTCACTCTCCAATCGAACAAGATACTGAAGTCGAAAATCGAAGCATTATTTCGACTACTTATCGTGTACACAGACACAAAAAAAAAAAAACACACATCATTGTAAAATCAATACATTCATCGTTTCACTCAGAATCTAAAAAAAAAAAACTGTCATGGGCGGGATACGATACCCTCCGTAATAACGCCACTGTGCCAAAGTTTCGCTTTATTATTTTATTGTTTACTTTTTTTTTGTCTGTGAAAATAGTGTAATAGTGAAGATCACACTAACGTAAGCTTGAGTTGAAGGCTATTTTTTTTTTTAGTGATTACACTATTAAAAAATTACAAAGATAACAAAAAGATAATATAGCAATAATGACAAAAATATAAATTAGCTTTTGATTCATCTATCATCATTAGTACCTAAAATTGAATAAATCAAATTTAAACATATACATTATACAGTTTAGTTGACTTGGATCAAATTACTCCAGATCATCAAGTAAATGAAATATTTAATTATAATTTATATTGTGAATATCAAATTACATCTTATATAGACAAACCTGCAGCTCTAACCTACTTTGTTGGTTATGTTGATCGAAAGTCCAAAAAAAATTCACTACCTACCAAACACTTGCAATGATCGTTTTAATTACCTAATTTCAACATCAGATGTCATACTTATCTTAAGAAATATTATAGTTAGTTTGTGGTCCTTTGATGGAAATACATGATTTGGTGGTTAGATGGCCAGGTAGTTACCATGATAGCTTTATCTTCAATGCCAGTCATGCCTGTGCTGTATATTCTAACAATAAACATAATCTTATACTTCTGGGAGACAATGGTAATGAAGATAATTAGGGCTCGGAACTTAATGCACTTAAAAATTATGGAGAAATCACGAAAATTAGCAAATTATTTTGAGTTAAGAATTCTTAAAAATTTTTCTTTTTAAATCTAAGATTTGAAAATGTAATACAAGATTACTCATAGGTTTGTCTATCTTTATAAATAAAAAAATCTACCGGAAGGTCAAATTAAATTTTTATGAGCGTTTGAAATTCAAATGTTTACACTTTACAGCATGGATATTCATTCGATTTCTCATGTAGCGATTTCCTTATTTTGTTGTAAATCATAAACGAATAACTATAGATACATGAAAATTTCACTGAATGCTTATATTGTCATTTCCTATACACCATACAATTTTGAAAATATTTTGACTCTTTTTGAGCTGTTTACGGATATTTTCATTTTTCAATTTTTTTAGTTTTTTTTTTCTATGAATATCAATAAAGTTTTATCTGTTGGGCCAAAAAGTGTAAACATTTAATACAAGGCTCCTGATATATTGTTACAAAATCAGTTGAAAAATATTAAAAATACAATGGCACAATTTTTTTTTATAAGCATTTAAACATCGAATTTTGACAGAATTTTTCAAAATCTCGAAAATTATTAATCATCGTAATTAATAAATTATAAAATGTTCAGTTTTTATAGCTAAGGATTGAAAATTTAAAACAAGATTCCACGTAAGTAGTTAATTCTCTTACCGAAAAATCTAAAAAATATACAATCACAGTTTATTTTTATAGTCATTTTACGTTCAAATTTGGACGAAATTACATATTAAAAAACCTAGTTATTTTGTTGTGATTATATAATATTATTCTTGGGTACCTACTTGAAACTTCTAAAGTGCACTATTATATATCTATGATAGTATCAGGGTTTATTATTGATGTTGATGTATAACGTGTTATAAGTACCTTATGGATATTGTGATAATGTGATATGATATTAATTTGGAATTTATTATAGGTCAATTTTTAGACTGACCTAGACTGACATCATTGAATTCAAATTTAATAGCATCCATTATACAGTGACCCACTTGTAACCTACTGTACAGCAGAGCGACATCCACTAACCCACCTTTTTTTTTTTTAATGTCGGTATTTAAGTATAATCAAACATTTTTTCAAATACCTATAGATTAATATATTACAATATATAGGTACAGATTGCATTGGTGGCCGTGACAATTTTTTCAATTAAACAAATAACGTTATATGTACTCCTGGGATATATATAAGCCAATACCCACGTACATCAATGGTTCAAAGAAAATAATTTTTGTGATATTACAAAACGTGGTCCTCAAAAATACGGCTAATATGTTCAAAATAATTTTAATTTAGTAAGCTGTTATATGGTATCACATTTGCAATTTTCAAATAACTATGTCGGGGGACTGGCGTAACGGTCTCGAACAAGAGCAGTAAGTACATTATTATTATATATTTATTATATAATATCATATTATTACATATAAATCTAAAAACATGAGCACCGCGCACTGAAAGTTTCTGTGGGTCACCCAGCAGCCTGTAATATATACCTACAGAGATGTCCTAATCAAATCCCCCCCCCCTTTTATTTTGGCGACGTTCATTCTCGTGGCAATTCTTTTGTGTTACCTATTGATAGTTTTGATGTATGAACAATGGAGCGATAACGACCGATCATTATTGTGGCCGCCACACCTCGTCAATACTTTAATAATTTTCCTCCTCACTATACTTGTATAGTTATGCCGTGTGTGTGTGTGTGTGTGTGTGTGTGTGTGTGTACTTGATGAACGAGGGCGAACGGGCACGAGATTAGCGATATCATTAATACCGAATAATAACATGACCATAAAGAGAACGCGCTGAATATCATTATCATACAACACATAGGGATATATGTTTTAATATATTTGTATATTATATTATGTATTAATGATTTTGAATCATTGAATTCAAATTCAACCCATCCATTTCCACTAACCGCTTTTTGAGACTTATGGTAACTGCAATAATAACTATTTATAAGGAACCTTGTATTACATTTTCAAGTGCTAAATTATTATAACATATAATTTATTATGCATTTTAACAACAGAATAATTCGCAGTTTATGTGATTTTGCCATTTTGTCGAATTTTGAACATTTATAAAAAATTATGCTTATTATTTTTGTTATTTTTTAATTTCTATATGAACAACTTTTCAGGAACGTAATTGTTTTAATGTTATTGTTTCATGTTTGTATTCAAACTTTTTTACACAGAATAAAATATTTTAACAATATTTATAGGAATAAAAAACTAAACTATTCTAAGAAAACTACAAATGCTTACATTTTACAATATTATGTAGCTTAAAATTAGTTTTAAAGTTTAATAATGCGTCATGACGTATAGAAAATGATGACTGAAATAATAGTGAAATACTGGAATGTTTAAAGTTCAAAGATTATTATTATTATGTTTGTCATACTATGTCATAGGTATATGAATATTATACTATTTCCACTAGGGCTCGCAAACGTTATAATAACGTTATATTTGAGAAAAACTATTGAAATTTGTAAACCTAATTATAACAGAAAGCGATAATCAAAAATAGGTAATTAAATTCCACAAAACAATACATTTCGATCAACAATATATTATATTATATATCATTAAACAAAACATAACGCAAAACGAAATTTATAGAATATCATTGACCAAAAAAAAAACGAAAAACGAAACATTTTAAAATCTATTTATTTAAAAGGTCTATTGGTTTCGTAGAAACATTTAATTCATCCAGACAATCGAAGAATTAATTATATTATATTCGGTATCCGGGCAATTACCTATACCCACATTAGTTATAATTTTTAAGTATTAACACTATTTTATTTACGATGAACGCAAAAGTTGAATAACGTTTTAATTCTTAATGCCTAAAGATAATCGCAAAAAATGTGTAACTTTTTAATTGCAAATTACATAAAATTTAATTTTTTTTTTCATGTGCAATCTCTGCAGATTTCTACCTATTATTATTTTAGTCCGAGTTTTATGCCGTTCGGCTTTCTCGGTTAACTTGGGGCAATACAATTATATCCCGTGTAACCAATGCTTATAATTTATTATTCTTTTTTTTCTATGTCCTCCTTAATAAATCCACAATGCTCCAGCCTAACAAGGTTTCTGCTGGTGACCTTCCCGAAAGTTCAAGTCACCATTATACGTCAGCTATACGTACAGCTCAGCGTCTCACGTGGTTAAATATAAGTACACTTATTATAAAACATTTGCATTATTTACGAGAAAAGGGCAGAAGGCCAATATGGTCGAGGGAGTAGTGACTCGTATGTCTACTCTAATATAGGCCGCCAGTCCGACCGTGTCTGAGAGGTTAAGAGAGTTCGTCTCACCCGCTTGACGTGTAGTCTCAGTCTTACTCACGGACGCCAATACGCCAGCCATACCAAATTTTCGTTCACCAGTTTCAATAGTGTGCTGTTAGTTTTCATATTAAAGTGAACTGACCTGTTATCAAACTTTTAGGTAAGAACATTATTTGTGTTCTCTCATTGGTTTTTTACAATATTTTAATTTTTAAGTGAATTATGAACTTTTTCAAATATTAATGTTTTACATACTGATTACTCACTTATAAATTTAAATATCGTAAAAAAATCAACGAGAGAATACGAATAATGGTGTTAATTAGAAGTTTGATAATTGGTCAATTCACTCTAATGTCAAAACTGACAGCATGATATTGAAACTAGCGAACTACAATTTTCTATGTAACACATGAAACGTGTGTAAGACGGAGACAACACATGCGGGTTCGACGTCCTCAAGTATACAGGTATAATATGCTTAGTTGTTAAGTAATATCGTACAAAAGCGATTAACGACTAAAATAGATATTTTATTTAAATCGTATATAATATTATAATCGTGTGTTACATTATATGATATAGGTACCTATCGTATTATCGTAACATATTGAAATGAAAATTTATATGAATTTTATGTGATAGGTTTTGATGATACACAAAAGAAGCATGTTACATAGGTACCTAATATTTTTATTACAAATTGTTTTCGTCGTCGTCGTCGTCGTTGAGAGCGTCGATGACAAACGCCGGCAGTGCAAACGCCGCTTTATGAATGTCAGTAGTGTAGTAACGAAGCTTCATGTCCTTTCGCTGTTGGTTAGTCAATTGGTGCACCGGATTTAAAAAGTCTGTATTCTGTAAGACGAAAAAAAATCAAATAAAACACAATATTATAAGTCATATTATATAGTACAGAAACACGAGACAAAATACGCCGGGTTGAGAACATGCATGATGCATGTGGTTAGTAAATCGTTAATTTAAATAGAGTATCTAATAATGTTCAATAATAATTGTACAAAATATAATGTAGGTAGGTACAAAAATGATTTAAAATACAGCAGATTTAAAAAAAAAATATATATATATATTTAAGTTATCTGAGTTAAGGGGCCTGGTCGCGATTTTTCAAATTTTCCGCAATTCTATAAAATTTGAAAACTAAATTTTATATTTTAGTTGTACCTCAATTATAGACTTTTCCACTAATCTACTACCCAATACCTATTAAGGGGGGTTGATAGGGTGTATTATATCGGTCAAAACACAGTTTACAGGAAAAACTCTCACCCCTCGTGGATTGGTCCGATTTTCGTAATTTTTTTTTTGTTAGATAGAGGAATAATTTTTACAGGGCGCATTGGACTTCGATTTTTGATTACGTCGCTAAAAACAAAAAATAATACAAAAACTAAAAAGTTGTAAAAATTGATTAAATTCAAACTTGTAAAATAAGACTTAGAAAAATAATTTTGAAAATCCAAGTCCAATGCGCCCTGTAAAAAGTCTTCCTCTATCTAACAAAAAAAAAATTACGGAAATCGGACCAATCTACGAGGCGTGAGAGTTTTTCCTGTAAGGCATGTTTTTGAGCAAAAAAACAGGTCGCGTGCAGGCCCCTTAAAAAAAAATCATTTACTTATCCAGTTATCCAGCATTAACGATATAAAAATTATACATAATTTATTAAGTGATTGCTTTAATCTGCCTATTATATTATTTATAATGGGTAGTAGTGGTAATTTTCATAACTGAAATATCGTTAGTCTTACTCTTGGATAATACATCGGGTAATAATTGTTTATTCAACCTCGGCGTTAGATGGTGTGGTTAAGAATTCGTATAGGTTTTAAATATCTATTAATTTGATCTTATTAGTAACAATAACACTCGACAACGGTTATCGATTTGATATTAATTATTACGGCTAGTAGAATATTATTCATAAACCTAAATATGTACAGGAGATCCATTTAAATGTCGACACTTATTATTTAGAAAATGTATAAATTTTTTTGAAAATATTATTCTATATAATATTTTGGTACTATCATTATTTAAATAACATTTGAAAAAAATAAATATAATTTTTACTAATTTTTTTCGTTATCATTTTCTTATGTTTTTACTTATTTGTATGATAAAGTAAAATATATTTTTATTTCATATTCCAAAGCAAAATATTATTAGGTGTATTTTTACCTACAAAGATTAAATTTTGGACAAGTTAATCGTTAGTTATAACTAGAGCAAAGAATTTGTTGGCATAAAAATTCGCCAAATAAATGTGATTCATACGCATTTTACAAATAAAAAATTGGTGAAAATTTAAAGTACCAACAGTTATTCGTTTTAAATTACTACTCAGCCAGTGTTGGGAATTATCTAGATAAAATAATTTTTTTAATTATCTTATCTAGATGAAAATAATCAAATCATCTAATTATCTCATCTAGATAAATGTAATGGTTATCTCTGTCGTAATTTATCTAGATACATAATATAATAGGTAATAAGAATATTTTTAAATATTGAAATATTCAATAATTTACTATAACCGTGAAGTGATTCCAAATTCCAATATTATTATACTTTAAAAAAGACATGCTTATACTGAAATATTGTCAGTTTTATTTTGTTATTTTATTTGTATTCAAGTTGTATTAAAAATTAAAATTGTATATTATTTTAGTTGAGAAATTACATTAGGATTTATTAATTAATAAATATTACCTAATTAGTTATTACTAATAAATTACATTATTTATAATTATAATTCTAAAACAAGTATCTATTTTTTATCTATATAATGTAGTAGGTATGTACTGTATGTGTATTTTTATCTTTATCTAGATAAAAAAAAATGATGTTATATTTTATCTTATCCAGATGATTTTTTGGTTAACTTTCCCCAACACTGCTACTAGAGAAGAAAATCACTACATGAAAAATCAAGTGAATATCCGATGTCGTAAAAATTTTAGCTTCAAACAGTATACAAAGTTTACTTTTTACTGGCACGGTAAACTTTTTTTTGATAAGGAAACACTTATAAGGAATATTGTATTGCATTTAAAAATCTGAGATTTAAAAAGAAAAATTGTTATGCATTTCTCACTCGAAATAATATGCACATTTTCGTGATTTTTAAGTATTTTGTCAAAATGTTTAACTTAAAAGCTTATAAAAAAATTGTAATTGTATTTTTAATATTTTTCAACTGCCATTGTAACAATATTTTAGGAGCATTGTATTACATTTCAGTTTTTGACTCAATTAATAAATGTTATTGACATTCAAAGAAAAATATTGAAAACTGAAAATGTCCTTAAACAGCTCAAAACCAGTCAAAATATTTCGAACATTTTATGCTGTATGGAAAATGCCAAATGCTAATATAAATATTCAGTGACCATTTCATGAATTTAAGGTCATTTGTTTTAGAGTTACACCAAAATCTAAGATTGATTTTGTCAATGCTAGCTTTGTGAAAGTATGAAATGAATCGTTTCTTACTGTTCCATTTTTGTGAATAAGCAGAACAAATATGCAAATGCTACAAGTTCTATGCAATAGTTATAACTTATAAGTCATAATCAATATTAAAGTTTTGATGAGCGGATTAGAGTAGTTAAGGAGTGTCCCTCAAAATGTTGGACGCTATTCCGCTAATCTTTCCTTTAAATACTTTAGTTATAACAAAGTTTTATTTTATAAAACTAACGAATTACTTCTCCGAAGTATGATTTTTATACATTTAATTAGGTACCTACTCCAAATAATATTCTGCTCCGGAATATTAAATACAAAATGTATGGTGTCATTCAAAAAAGTAAAAAACATAAAAATTATAATGATACAAAATATATAAAATAGTATTTTTGTTTTAGAAATGTTCTTTTGAAATAACATAAAAATATTTTTTTCAAAAAAGTGAAATCTTTTTTAAATTATGAGTGTAGTGTAGTTGCACAACGAGCAATAATGTAACAGCGTCAAATGTTCTTATCAAGTTACATATATACATACATACATAAGTACATACATAAATACATAAATACAAGTTATAAACATACATAGTCACGTATTAATAGATATTAAAATACAAAAACCGCGTCATTCCAGTCGTTTCATGTTGGCTGGGTATAGGCTAGTAGAAGGTACTATAGTGGCTTTTTGTCAGATTTTATATGAACATTCACCTCCTAGTTTCCGACTAGTTTCACTTTCCTATCATAAATAATACTGTTGAAGAAAATCTAAGCATTTTTTCTATCCTAAAAGGTAACGACAGACACAAAAAACAACATGAATATCATTGTAAAGTCAACACATTCATCGCCTTAAAATCTAAAGTTTGCCTTTGCTTATCGCCCACAATGCATTGGCGTTTGTCGCCTCACCCTTGCTACGTCCCTGATAGTAAGCATGGTACTAAACATGGTATGACGATGACCTATTATCATTATAGGCGTTATTATAATATTATTATTGTTATAACAGGTATACCTCGTCAAGACTGCCGAGTGCGAAACCGATCTGACCCGCCGGATAGGTGGACACATATGACGTCGCGTACGCCGCCTTGGCGAATACTGCTTTGCAATGGTTGTGCATTGCCGCCGCGTTTTTCAAATGTCCCCAAAAAGTATCTGCCTGCGAACAAACGATGCCACCGGGACGCAGTGCTCGTTTCATTAGTTCAAAGTAAGATTTTTGGAATAGTGAAGCAGCCGGACCTATTGGATTGAAAAAAAAACACGTGACAGCCATCATTATGTAGGTACTTTTCGATTGACATAAATTTGTTATGTTAAATGTTAATATAATACTGTAGTAATAAGACTTATTATTTATTAGCATTATCTATATACATAATCAACGATTTGTATCACATAGAACAAAATTATGAGCAAGTATTTATATTCCACCGATATAGTTCTCCAAAACAAGTTTAATTAGTCTTGATATGTTGTTATCGTTAAACAGATTCTTAGTCACCGTCAATATTATTAATAAGATGTGGGGTAAGACATTTGGCCACCTGGAGTTATAACACGTAAATATTTTTAATAATATCATGGTATTGACATTTTTATTTTAAATAAATAGTGACTGAAATAATATCAAAACCTAAATAATTATGTAAATATATTTGTACTGTACCTAAATGTATTACATTTTTAAATAGTTTTCTTAAATTATTTGAAAAATGAATTTGACTGATGAAAACTGTATTTTAGATAATATATTTTGAAATTTTAAAATTTGTATTAATATATAAATCATTCTCACATTTTAAGTTATATAAAATGAAATTTTAATTTTAATGAAAAAAATAGTGTTTTAAGTATAGTAGATGATTTAAGATACCGGAGGACAAAATTTCCTATCTCAATAACTAACGGCAATGATAAGTCCACTATTCATTGTTATCATAATACCAGTAGTACGTAGTAACGGTAGTACGTATATCCAAAATTATAATAATATGTACGTAGGTACCGAATTACAAATAATTACAATTTTAATGTACTTATACTGGAAATATGTATTTTTTTTCCAAATTGTTTGAAAATTGTAAATAAATTAAGTCTATTTATAGAGTCAATGGTCTTTGTCTTTGATCGACTAGTCTTAAGAAGTTCAAGCAAACATTTTTTTTTTTTTTTTATGTAAGTTCCTATTCAATAAAAGTTTTTAAATAAAATGCAATACAACAATAGGTTGGTGAAATCTGCAGGCCACCTGTGTTTCGGTATACAGTATATAGTTACATTTGGTAGAGCTTACATTATAAGAAATCGGTGAAGTTTTTGATTATACTAAATTAGTTACATGAAATCTTACGAGTCATGAATTTATGTGCATTGCAGTAGTGTGTCTATTATTTTTATTTTTACTATAGGGACCTGTGGGGGTGATTGTAAACTCTCCCGATTTTAATGCCCTGTAAACTTTCCAGATGGTAAATTCTCCGGGTCTACTCCAATAGTCATTTACTACCTTACGGGAACGTGTAATCTCACCCGGGGCTACTCCAGTACAACCTGTCGGGTAAATGTAAGCTCTCCCGGGTCTACTACGACAGTTCCTACTAATTTTCATTCAAAAAAAGTAAATTATATAATAATACAAATCAATGCATTTAGCTGCTGTGATATATAGAAATATAGTATACTTAATACTAAACATTTCAATTTAATTTTCATGATAGTACGAACATACAGATTTCGAAAACTTAAGGTAGGTATTTATTTGTTGGTTTTTATAGTCATTATTTTTTGTGATATTTTTTGGTATGATAGTTTTACTTATTTTATTTTGTTTATTGCAATTTTTAATTTTTATGTACACTTAAGTTTGAAACTCGGTTAGAGCATTAATAATTAATATAAAATATATAGATGGATGAGTATTAGATACATAGCCAATTCATAGTCAAAACGACTATGGAAAGTTTACACATTTCTTTCAGGTAAACATAATATTGATCCATCTTGAGAACCGTGAGAACTAGTTTTAAAAATCGGGAGAGCTTACCATACAATCGGGAGAGTTTACCACCGTCTCCTGCGTGCCTACCAATTAATAAACAAAGTATGATCGCAGATTGATGCTAGTTTAAAGTATACCTATGGGATCAGAAGAATCGGTTATGATGACGTCGTAGCATTTAAAGTGTTCTTCCATGAATTTGAAACCGTCAGCTACGTGCAGGTTGACTTTGGGGCTGTCGAATCCTTGAGCCATGAACGGTAAATATTTCTTCGACAATTCGATTACGCGTTCATCGATTTCCACTTGGTCAACGATTTCGACCAATGGGTGTTTGACTACTTCCCTGGCTACCCCTCCATCACCACCTCCAACGATGAGCACCTGTTAATGATAATCAATTAAGAATAGGACAATCGACAAATAGATATTATGTAAACGTATACATAATTAATTTATGGTTACGATACAAACCCTTTGCGGTTTTGGGTGACTGAAGAGTGGTAGAAATGAAATCATTTCTTGATAAGAATACTCATCATATTCCGTGCACTGAATCATTCCATCGAGTACCAATACGACGCCGTGCGATTTTCTATTGACAAATCAATTTTTTAAATTAGTATTAAGAAACAAAATTGTCATAAGTACCTACCTACTTTAATATCATGTAGATATTATATTACAATCTAGGGATGACGTATACAAACTTTATACATAATGCTAAAACATATTTCAACAATTTATATGATTATATTCTATTTTAATATTATAACTTAAATAAAAGCAATTAAAAAATAAATATTTTCTGGTAGTATATTTATGTACATAATATGACTAATTTTGAATAAACTTTATGGATGAAGTCGATAATTGTGTGTGAAATGCCCCTAAATATTTATTACAGTCCTGCTACCTACTAGCTTGTACCTTGTACTTGGTACCTATAAATAGATGTCTAAGAGGCCATCAAAATCGTTTTATATGTCTATTGGGATAATCTGGACATCTGGGTCATCTTTTTGATTCGGTAAATCATTATAAGTCAATATCATGATTAAAACATGTTTTATTTATACTTGAGTTTTTGTGTTTTTAGAGCAAGATAGGTTTTTTTTAGTCCACAAAAGTCCTAAATTAATGAGACATACAATAAATATTTTAACATGATCTAAATATTAAGCAGACCAATAGGTATTACAAGTAAGTTATTTTTGTCAAAAATAATTAATTCACCTTGTTACCTATAATGTTTAAGATAATATCGAATTTGTTGATCTATTTATAAAATATTAATAAGTCCGGACGTATTATTTTTTCTAAAACCCGTTTTTAATTAATATTTTTTAAATCGAATCGCGGACATTTAACCCCGGATATTTTTCTACCGATATATTTTTTATGATGATATTTTACAATTGATTATGAAATTATTATTTTGCCTATTTTCAAATATTTTCATAAATATAATAATTTATAGATGTATATTTTTGATCAACTGAACTACTTGAATCACATTCAAAAGCAATTATTAAATTGTTAAAAAGAATTAGTAATCAAATGTTTTTTATAAAATGTATCATTTTTAATTCGGAATTTTCAGCTATTTATTTTTAATTAATTATTATAATTTATTTTATGTTTATTTTTTAAGTAGTTCAATAAATTGAACATATAGATTTATAATGTATTATATTTATGAACAAAAAAAAAATGGTTATAATATATTTTATATTTAAATAAAAAAAAACAATTTTATATTAAATAATAAATAATACTGTATTATTAAATTGAATATTATTAGTCAATCATAAACTTTTAAAGTAAAATGTAGGGGGGGGTGGGAAATGTCCTCATAAAATATATATCGATAGGAAAATGTCCTACTAGACCGTAAACAGTCGGGGTGTAAATGTCCATTTTCCGTTTTAATCACTCATTCTCGTCGATACATCATAATATTATTATCACTTATCTATTGCTAAGATATTCTGTATAATAATAGTTTTTTTTTTCTTAATAAAATAAGACATTCCTAGCCGTTGCAGGCTATCTATATCTATAGATAATAGACAATTTTAGTTAGTAGCTATTTTAAAAGGATAATTATAAATGTAAAATATGGACAGATGTATGCAATTTAAGCTAAATGAAACTAAATAAAATAAATATTCTAAATATTACAATATATGAATACGGTATAGTCACAAATACTTGAGATACTATATAAATGCAAAACTATTACAATAGATACAGATTAGACTGGAGGTTGATTTTGAATAATGAGGTCATGAGGGCGGCCGCGTTTTAGACGTCGTTGGAGTGGTGGATGAATATGGAGATTGTAGTGAAGTGAGCCTGTTGAGTTGAGTAATGAACTATGGAATTTTGTTGATAGTAATACTTATCTGTTGCTTTGTTTAAAAAATAATATCGCAAAGACACAAACCACTTAACCACACGTTGTAGTTATTTCGTAGCTTTTACAAAAACGTTGGACGAAGTATTTTGCTTATTTTTATTATTTCATCATGCCTTGCAAAAGCAAATCTAATCTAGCGTTTAGCATTTTTATATTTTTAATTATAATTAAACCTCTTATAATATATTAATCTCTTAAGTCTTAGATATTTTTCAGCAAGATATTATAGACGGGAATGGGGAGGTGTATGTTGATACACAAATATTTTACACTCGGGTGAAACCGGGTAATTCAGCTAGTAAATTATATCCCTATTGTAATTATTTATAACCAACACCTACATTTGTTGTCATCGTCTTACAAATGGACGATATAAATATGTATTATAATACCATGTTTATACGATATTTAACCTTTTTAGCAAGTTGTGGTTGTGTAAAATATTAATAACTCATAACTTCCACAGAATTAAAATATCATAAAAACTAACGAGAAAACACAGATAATGCCCTAACCTTTGAGACTTGATTTAATAATAGCGATTATCGGCCAATTAAATCTAATGTTTAAACTGAAAATTAACAACACACATTTGGAACTGTCGAATGAAAATTTTAATTGCAATGCCCATTTGTAGGACGGATAAGACACATATTATAACATTATAACTTATATCCTATAATTCGTAAATATAATGTTTGAAAATAGAATAATTATATTATAAATATATAATAATATATAATATAAATAATATATATTATAAACGTACAATGTACAAGGTTATTTACATTTCACAATCAAAGATCGACTGACGACTGAGTATAGTTTATTAAAAATGACCTACCTAATATCATTGAGTTTAGTATAGTGCCCAGTTACAATTTTAAAATCATATTTTTTTTAACAGCTTTTATTTATGAAAGATGATAACACTACAACAATATAATAAATAATAATCATAGAAATTGTTTGACATTATTTATTATTCTGTGAATGGATATAATAATTAAAGTTAATAAGTTAAAGTTAAAAACAATTAAAGTTAATAAAGTACGTATAATATGAATACCTACTATTAGTTATGATAATATAATAATATTGAAATATATGTCGCTATTACATTATATTATCTAATAGAATCCGTTAAATTGAGATTTGGGACATCACGTAAAAGGGACAACGTATTGTGGGCGTTAATGACTCTATGACTGTCATTAACCAATACGTTGTATATAAAATTATACGGTTAATCGGGACAGTTGGATAATATTGAAAAATTGATCACCATCCAATGCGTCAATAAATTGTATGGATTTTACTATATATATATATAGGGTGTTACAGGAAGACCCGAAAAAAAAAATAAACTACTTACTTAAACGTATGAGAACACTTGTGAACATTATATAGTTCATAAAAAATTTAAGAAATATACCTACCTATGTCATACCTACTCATGTCAGGAAATTCACATAAACAATATTTTGTAAAAAGTTTTCCATCAAAATTGTTTTTATAATCACATTTACAAATTGGCTATTTTGAATTTTATTTTCACTAGGTACTAAAAAATCAAAATAATTTTTTTTTATATTGTACGTGTAACGAAAGTGACAATCAATTATATGAAAAAAAAATATTTTAAAATATTGATTGGAACAAAAGTTATTTTATCTATCAGGTCTTTTTGTACAGCCTGTATATACATTTAATGAAGTTGGTAATCATGCAATGTTTAGAGCCCACCGTACGGCGTCCTCTTAATAGGCGTGTAAAAACTCACGTTTTCAATACTAATATCTCCTGGAATTCGGACTGTTCCTTGTGCAGGACTTGTTCGACTTCCATAGAAAAACTTCTGCCCGGCAACAAGTCCGTGAGCTCGCTGAACCATCCGGTCTTTAACTTGTCCATATTTAAGTAATAAGTACCTCAAACGTCGACGACGATGATGACTATATTGTTAGCTGAGAAGAAGCGACTGTGTGTAGTGTACAGACTATAGACTGCGGTTTAGTAATACAGTCGGCCGGCAGTCATCGGCTGCCCGGCACATTTCCCCTTCCCTCGAAATGTGTCTACAAATTATTGAACACACATGTTTATCTCCGGTGACCTTCGGTATAAACGACTAAATGGCGAACAAAACACTAAGCAAGCGTTGGTTGGTATGCGTATTGCGTACGGCATATTATATATGAAATAGGACGTATATTTGTACCATGGGTTACCAAAGTGAGGCTCGCTAATTAAAATGTTTTTCTAATTTGATAATAAGTATGTACTTTTCGTTTCCTGCATTTCATATTAATTTTCATTATTTTGAGTGGCTCGCCACACTATTGCTGACTGCCCTTGCTATATACAGGGTAATTCTTTTATAAGTGAACACTCATTATTTCAAGAAATGTAAATGTTATTGAAAATATTATTTTACATACTCGTAGTTTTAAGTGGTTTACAAAATATTATATTTCTAAATATTCTTTATGATTATCATTTTTTAAGTTTTTACTTTTTTAAGATATAACATAGTGTTTTAATTTCATATTCCAAAGCAGAATATTTGTCTAAGTATTTCGAAACATAAAAATCGAATTTAGGGCAAGTTCAAAATTAAAACGAAAATAAATTATAGTAAAGGGTGCGGGAGTCAAATCTAATGATTTGAAAAAATAAGAAAGAATAGAAAAAATAGAAAAACTATTTTTTATTAATTTTTCGTAAAACAAATAAAAATTATCCAAGCGTAATTTTATGTTATAATATATTTAAAAACTTCATTTTTTAAAGATTGTGTCAGGTAAATGCCTTCCTTGGTTAGCCACACATTACTAATACAGTACTAGGTACTTATATCATTTCTTTTGTAATACGATTTTGCCACGAATGCACGCTGTTCACTCGACCAAGGTCGAGAATTGTCCATGATTACTAAATTCTAGGTATTTCAAAGCGATAAAAACATTCCCAAAATCTCTACCACTATAGCCACGCCCACCAGTTCATGTTAAAATCTTCGAGTTTGACTGCCACAGCCTGTTTTACACTATTATTTAGTGGCTACACAAGGAGCGGTTTCGGATTATAATCCGCGGTGATTAGAAACCGCTTCAGTGGCTTGCTTACACACATAGGCGGTTTTAAAAACGGTTTCAACGAATTTTTGAACAATATTACAATATTTACAACAATATGATTTTAGCCCGAAATAGTCATCAGTTTCTCTAAACAAGTGGTTGGGTAAAGACTTGTTTTAAGTGAAGTATTTTGTAACTTTGTACTTAAGCATTTTAAAAATGGACCTACTATTATTGGATGACGTGGAAGCCATAGCTGTTGCACATGCGTTATTTAAACGTCATCAGCAGAAAAAAAAATATATCGAAGAAACGTTATTGGGTACATCCAATCAACTTAAAAAGGCCACAAGAAGGCCAATTCAATGTTAACTTTATGGTACTTCGAGCACGTCCAGAAAAGTTTTTCAAGTACTACCGAATAGCTTCGTTTCTCCATCACTGCCACTTTCGAATTTTAATACCAAAAGTTGACAGGATTATGTACTTTTTTATGTACAATTTTAAAATATAACTTTATTGTACAATATATTTTTTCTTGTTAATATTACCGAAGATAAACATTTTTTACTGCCTAGGTAATAGGTAGGTACTTCCGCGAAAAAAAAAATTTCCTACCCAAAAATTGATATTTCTGATAAGTACTAATAATTATTATTAACAATTTATTTTTAAATTATTTTTAATTTATTTTAATTTATTTTTATCAGTGTTTATCTTTATTTTGTACTTACTATTTATCATTTTTGTATCAATGTGTGAGAGCAAATTTTATATTTTGATTATTAGATGTATTTTATATTAGATTCTGAGTTGAGCTTAAAATATTTTTGATAAACTATTGATTTTACAATAATGTGTTTTTTTTTTTAAATTTTTAAAATTTTATTTTTTGTGTTTGTCATCGTCACCTTTTTAGGACAGTAAAAATGCTTAGATTTTATACAACAGTTTATTTTCTGATAGGAAAGTGAATCTAGTTGGTACTTTGGGGGGTCAAAAGTAAAAATGTCCCAGTAGTTTTCATAAGCGCCTTGAAAAACAACAGAAAAATTAAAGAATAACGGAAATTTAATCGGTTATCGAGAAAATCGATTTTGGTTTTCCCTGCAACTCTAAAACAAATGACCATAGGTATACATGCAATTTTGACTGAATTATATTATATTATCATTTTCTATACACTATAAAATTTTCCAAATATTTTCAGTTTCCATTTTTTTCAGTTTTCTTTTCTATAAATATCAATAAAATCTTATTTGTGAGGTAAAGAAATTTGAAAATTTAATAGAAAATTCCTAGTATATTGTTTCAAAGGCAGATCAAAAAAATCAAAAACCCATAGTCACAATTTTTTTTTGTAAGCTTCTAAAGTTTAAAAATTTACAAAATACGTAAAAATGACGAAAATTGGCAAATTATTTGGAGTTAAGAATTCGTAAAAATTTCGAGTTAGAAATTCATAAAAAAATTTCTTTTTAAATCTAAGATTTTAAAATGTAATATACAAGATTTCTCATAAGTTTGTCTACCTTTATCATAAAAAAAATGTCCACAAGCAATTCAAATTACATTTTTATTGAAATTCATTATTTTACAATATTAGATATTCACTCAATTTCTCGTGTAGCGAATTTGTTATTTTGTTGTTATTCAAAAATGAATATCTGTAGATACATGAAAATTGTACTGAATTGTATTTATTTTAAATACACTATAACATTTTGAAAATTTTTTGACTCTTTTTGGGCTATTAACGAACATTATCAGTTTTCTTAGTAAATTTATCGCGAGTCCTGTATGGCATAATTGTATTTGTCTTTAAGAGTACAACGATAACAATAATTAATGACCATGAAGTTAGCCCCCCCCACTTTGACGGATTCACTTCAAACCAACGCCAATATTTAGCAAATTAATTGCAAATAATTGCAAATTGGTTTTTAGAATTTGCAAATTTAGTGCACCCTCGCAAACTAAAAAAATGATTTAGGGGGGGCTAACTTCATGCAGCCCCCCACTTTGTCCGATCCGTTCCAAACAAACGCCAATATTTAGCAAATTAATTGCAAATAATTGCAAATCGGTTTTTAGAATTTGCAAATTAAAATTGGAATTTTGGCGAATTTTTTTGCAAATTTGGTCAGCCCCCCACTTTGTCCGATCCGTTCCAAACAAACGCCAATATTTAGCAAATTAATTGCTAAGATTAATATAGAAATATAGAATAAGATTTTTTATCAAGTATAGATTTTTTTTATAAATATTAATTTATTATTTTATGAAATACTAGCTGATCCCGTGCACTTCTTTGCCAATTAAAAATACCAACGCTATAAAACTAATAATATGTTTTTTTGTATAATATAACGGTTACCATAACAACAATTTGAAACCAATTATTATTATTATTATAGCTTTGAAACCCACGGCAACCATATACCATGTATAAACAAAAATTTCCATCGGAAATATAAAAATCCCTGTTTGAGCACGTCCCGGTGTTGGTCCTCTCCCTTTTTAAATTAGCCTATCTTCTGCCCAGAGGTCTAATCTATCTATATATATAAAAATATTTGATCCCGTGCACTACGTTGCCCATTAAAATTGACAACTCTATATGAATAATATGTTATACATATCACCATGGCAACCATTTATATACAAATCGGTTTTTAGAATTAAATATATTGTTACAATTTTTTTTTTTTTTTTTTTTTTTTTTTCAGCTTAGCGGTCCATTCAGGACCATCGCTGCCATCAAAATTTCTCTCCACCTCTCTCTCTGATATGCCGTTTCTAAAGTTGCTTCCTGGTCTATCATTTTTATATCTTTGGCAACTACGTCAATCCATCGGGTTTTGGGTCGTCCTAGGGGTCTCGTTTTGTTTATTTTATTGATAAGTACATTTTTAATTAATTGTCCATCTGCCCTCCATACATGTCCGAACCATTCTAGTCGTTTTTTCCTAATAAAGTAGAGTATATCTGGCTTATTATAGAGAGACTTTATATTTTCGTTGCTTCTTCTTTCGTATGTCTGTGTTTCTGGGTTGAAGATTGGTCCATAAATGGTTCGTAACACTTTCCTTTCGAACGTGATAAGTCTTCTACTATCACCTTTAGTTAACGACCAGGTTTCACAGGCGTATGTTATCACAGGTCGAAGGTAGCTATGATATAGTCGTATCTTTGATCCTCTCGATAACAGCTTAGACCTCAAGAGTTTGATAATACTGAAGTAACATCTATTTCCACTAGTGATCCGTTCATTTATTTCTATATGCATATCATTTTTGTTGTTGATGTTTACGCCTAAATACTTAAAATTATCAACTTTTTCAAATTTATAACTATCTACTACTATGGAATCTATATTTGGTGGTCTTCTCGATACGACCATATACTTAGTTTTCCCCTCGTTTACATATAATCCTATTCCTTTACTTGCATTTATGAGTTTAGATGTTGAGTTGATGATTTCCTCCTTGGTTTCACCCATCAGTACAATGTCATCTGCATAGGCTAACCTAACTTGTTCATTGCTTATCTCCATTCTTCTGTCATCGTTTGTGTCTCTAATTATTTTTTCGAGGGCTAAGTTAAATAGAGCAGGTGACAACGCGTCCCCTTGTTTAAGGCCAGATTTGACTTCAAAAGGATCTGAGATGCCTTGCATATAACACACTCTGCATAGTGATTTTTCGTAACACGCTTTTATTAGGTTCACATACTTTTTGGGAATTCCTAAAATTACCAATGCTTTCCAAAGCTCTTCTCTGTCTACACTATCGTACGCCTGCTTGTAATCCACAAAGACTAGATGCAGGTCCT